GGGTCCCCAGGAGGGAGCAGGCCGAGCTGTCCAATGCTGATTCCATACCGAGTCTCCGTGGTCAGCATTCATATGTTTCAGAATCCGATCTCTCGCCGCGGCATGCTGTGCTTCCAGGTTTGCCATCCTCACCGGCTGCACTCGGGCAAGTGTCGTGTGCAGGTGATCGAACAGTAGCCGGATGTCGTTCTGGTGTTGCGGCCTGCCAAGCCCTAAAGGCCGGAGAAAAGACGCCCCGCACCCGACAGACCGCTCAAAGGAGGGGCACACATTCACATTTCCGCCTCTCGACCTCTCAAGAATTCCACTCAGCTTCGCCCCGATGACTTCACCGCAGCACCAGCGCGCAAACGCCTCTTTGGTTCCAGACGACTGCAATCACATCACCGTTGCGTGAGGTGAGGTACGGCAGCAACATGTGGAGTGGCTGGGAACCATCCGGGGCACAAAGTGAGGAGAAAGACCAATCGGCCCAGTTACCGATCGAGATGACCCTGCCCAGCTGCCAAGAGAAAGGAACGTCGCTCGTCACTCAGTGAGTCTTGGGAATGAGTCGAATGACCTGTGAAAATGCCGAGAGAATGAGATGCCGAACAGTGGCCGTTGTCCGCTGATGTCACAGCCTCTTCTTTCCCCCAAAAAGGTATCTCTCACTACGTACCAAAAGACCCTGGCTGGAGCAGCACGCACTACGGGGCGGGCTCGGTTCGACAGCCGTGAAGCGAGCTTTGGCATGGGCGCGATGTGGGCAAGGATGTGGGCAAGGTCCCGCGCCCCGCTGGTGTCTCGGCGAGCCTGAGCTGACGGTGCCCAGTTGCGTCAGCGTGCATGTCACGGTGGCTCGCAAGCAGGGGTTTCAAGTACTGCCGCTGCGCAAACCGGTTCTCTCGTCTCCAAGTCACTTTTCTTCTCAGGTTCCGGTCATCTCTTCCTTCCACCTGAATTACAAAACTATCTACCCACTTTCTGAGCGCTCAGTCAACTCGTACCCACACATCGCACCAACACACACCACAACACCATGGCGGACACTGTCGAGGAATCCAAGCAGTCCATTGCCGGAGAGGGCCAGGCCAATGCCGGCGCGTCGCTCGGCGCAAAGGGCAGCGCAGAGAGTTCGAGTAAGAAAACCGAAAAAAAGGCACCAAAGAAGCTGGGCAGCAAGAAACCTCAACAGCAGCCCACTCCTGAAGCCACTCCCGCACCCGAAAGTGATGGCGAAGGAGAGGCTGATCAGGAACCCGCAGGAAGAAAAGAGGTAGCTGCCCCCGACGAATCTGAACCTGAACCCGAACCTCAACGAGAGAAGTCCAGGCGACGCCAATCCAGGGGACGCGGCCGACGAAATGTGCCCGACTCCGACTCTGAATCTGTTGCGCGCTCCGATGTATCCGCTTCTGGCGGTCGTCGCAACCGCCAGCGCCGTCGCAAGCAAGGCGGGCCACTGGGCGACATCAGCGAAAACCTTCCCGGAGGAGACCTCGTCAACGGCGCCGGAGACCTTGTCCAAAACACTGCTGGCAACGCAGTGAACTCTGTCGGCAACACAGCTGGAAAGGCGCTCGGAGGCGTCCTGGGCGGAGGTGACAAGGAGGGCGAGGACGACAGCAAGGGCGAGCAGCTGCGCTTGAGGCTAGAACTCAACCTGGACATTGAGATTCAGCTGAAGGCCAAGATTCACGGTGACCTTACTCTAGGTCTGCTGTAAGTGTCTTCCCACTATCTGGCCAATTTGCACAGACGCTGACGGTGAGCAGTAACTGAGCATACCACAATCGGTCAATTGCGACGTCGCTACGTTTCTGTCTTTGCTGCGCATAGTTTTGGGATCTTCGCACGATTGAGTCACTGTTGGCGTTTTGAGGGCTTGATGTATTGATAATGGCGATGCATAATGCTGAAAACGACTCTTCTACACCGTATGCCATTACTGTTCTCTGTTCCTGTCGATATCGCGCGTGTGCCAACTTTCCACTCTGTTGAGGTCATATTTAATGATTGTGGCCGTCCCTGCATGGGCCTTCCCTTGAGCCACGCGGCCCCCAAGTGCTCCGTCCCAGACCATCATCAACCGGCCCGAACGGGGCACAGCGCTAAACCTCATGAGCTCCACCCGTGTCGCATGTGAAATGGGGCCCAGACACCATCAGACACAAGCGACTCCCATGACGTCAGGCACTCGGCAATCCGGGGTGGCGCTGCAGCCAGGGTGTGAGCGGGGGGACCCTTGGCCGTGGCCGTCGCGCATGCGTCAATCTTGTTTTTGGGGGGGCTGACCAGGACGAGTCCCAGCCCAAGAAGTAACGCTCATACTTTCCAGTACCTACTCTTCTTTTCTCACCAGCTGTCGCCATTGAGGATACCTTTTCGTTTCCTCTTGACGTCTAATCCCACTACAAAACCCTGGATTCCCATCCAGATCACTCAGACTCCTCGTCCCACCGCTCCTTAGCCGATACCCACACCACCTTCAACATGTCGGACCGCGAGTATGACAGCGACAGCTCGCAACCCAACGAGCGCACAACCATGCAGCAGAACAAGGCGCTCGAGGCAAAGAAACAAGCAAAACGCGAAGCCGGGCTGCAGTCCGCACGTTCACGCAGCTCCTCTCGTCGTGCCCGTCGCCAGCGCATCCAACAAGGGATCAAAGACGGGAAATACATGAAGACTGCGTCTCTGGAAGCTCTCGAAGAAGCCGATGCCAATGGCGAGCTGAACTCGATGCAAGCGTTTGAGCGAATTGGCCCGGATAGCACGAGTATGGATGGGCCGGTGACGAAGGCGCGGGCGATGAGGGGTGAGATCCCAATGAGAGGGACGAATCCGAATCAGCCGTATCGGATGCCGGAGCAGAAGAAAGAGAGTGCGTTGGATCAGCAGGATGGATTGAAGTTGAAGTTGGAGGCGAACTTGGAAATTGAGATCGAGTTGAAGGCGAGCATTCGTGGCGATTTGACCTTGAGTTTGTTGTAAGTCCCCCTTTTCCCTTATCCTCCTCTTCCCTTTCATACCGTCTTTCCTTCTTCTCCCTTGAGATACCCCTTGTGCGCGTTTTCGTCGTCCCGACCCCTCTACAGCCAATAGGCTTATCACTGAGATTCAAGGGAATAACAGGCAATAGTGCATGATGTCGAGATAGAAGATGACGCGACGATTTGATGATTGGGTGCGTACGTTTGGGGCGTTTTCCAGGAGTACCGTTTCTTGTTTGCACTTTGTGGGTGTTTGATTATCTAGTCTGACATCGACAGTAATTGAAAAGATGATGATCGTGGAGCCCACCCGCCCGCACTGTTCCGTTGCCGCTGCGGGCCGCAGTGCCTCCCCGTCCCCCCACTGCCACGCGCGGCCCACTGCTGACGATTGTGTTGATCCTGTCGGAGTATGATGTACTTGTGTTTGTTTCTTGTATAGCGTCAAGAAATGTTTTTGTGGTTATTGTGTGTTACAGTATCAATACCTTCGACGCCCATGAGCGATACACGTCACCAGCTTCCAACTGCCTGCTGCACTCTCCTCTTCTTTCTGCACTCCTTTCGATCCTCTTCATCACCCATTTACACTCCTCCGCTTTCCCCCGACAACCCCGACTCCTACCACTCCCTCCTCGTCAAACTCATCCCATTCCTCCCTAACTCCCTCTCACGTTCCCCGTCCCCCCCAAACACCTCCCCCCATGCAAATTCCCCACTCTCCGCATCCGTATCCCCCTCAACAACAATATCCACACTTCCCCCCAACACCCTCGTCTCCTCCTCCTCCGCACCCGAGCTCGACCCAGCGCTCAAACCAACATCCCTCTTTTCCCCATTCACAATGTTCTCGAGTCCCACGCCTCCAGGTCCTTCGCCGCCTCGCTCGACAGTTTCAATAGCGTTGAGAACGTCTTTCTCACGCTTCTTGCGTCGGCAATGGATGATTGAGAGGAGTGCGAGGGAGAGCATTAGGATGCCGAGGATGCTGGCGCCGAGGATGATGCCGATTTTCGCGGGGGTGGTCAATGAGGGCGCGGGGGATGGGGTTGCGGCGCGCGGTGGGGAGTATGGGCTTTGCGACGGGGCGGACGATGCATATGATGGGGCACTCGTAGGGGTTGTAGACAGCGTCTCGCGTTCGTCTACTACTGCGCCGTCCTATACGTACGTGTAAGTCACATACAATACACATCTCCAGACCACCCTATGCAGCTACATACACCAAGCGAACTCCGGTTGTCTAGGACAACAACACCATAAACAGCCCACACATCCGCACACATAATCATCGCGAAGATCCTGAGAAGTGCTCGCATCATCGGGCAAGTTGAAATGAAGGACTCATGTATTGTAAGGAGCATGGGATGGACGAGTGGACGGGTGGGATGGTGACGGTTACATACAGAGGGGGAACGGAACCGTCGCGCACAGAGTCGGATACACGTCCACGCCAGCAACAACGCTGAGAAACAAATAATATATGCATTAGGTCCCGTGCATCATGTATGTGTTGTGGCACCAAAGGGGATCCACCTGGAAGTGCGCAACAAGCTGTGCCTGGTACTGTAGGTTCCTCGACCCGCACATCGTCGAGTAGAGGTGCCACGTCGACTTGATCGAATAGAACTCTGCATAGAGTGGGCCAGACGAGTGTTACCGAAATAATTTCACATCTTAGATGGTGATTTGGCGTGATCGTGTCGCCTCTGGATGGGTTTCAGATCATCGTGGTGCGAGGGTCGGCGTCTGCTGTGTAACCGGCTACGGGAGGTTTTTCTGCGACACGCCAACACTGCTGGTTTGAGGCTTGGGGGAATGGCGAGCGATTGAAGTGTATTTCAGGGGGACGAGATTTTGGAGAGTTATGAAAGTGCGTGGTTGAAGATAGTTGGGACGGTGGCAGTGATGGTGAGGGGGAGTGAGTGACGTTGGCCGATGAGCCCCGCTTGGGTTGTGCAAAAAAAATTTTTTCTACATGACTTTTTTTCTGCAAACAAATTCCAACAATAAATAACAACTCCTTCCTCCGTGGCGCAATTGGCTAGCGCGTCTGACTGTTACCACATGGTAGTAATCAGGAGGTTATAAGTTCGAGCCTTATCGGGGGAGTTGCATATCTTTTTGCACTTTTTCGAACACCACACCACCCCGCTGCAACGTTGTCTTCGCTTGTTCTCTTCTCCATGCACTTAAGTTGGAAAAGTCGCCGGGCTGTGCATCGCTTTTTTGTCCTTGAGTTGAGCTGGGGTTATTGAAAAGCCGTCCACCGCCTCTTCTTGTTGAGCCGCGGAGTCCTTCATGACGACTCCAACTCTGTGGCAGAAGTCTACATACCCGATCTGGAACAGCCTCTATCGGGCGTCGCACCCGATTTCTCCATCATGGCGCACGCTTCCGTACTAGACTCCGTACGAAAAGAGAACCCCATGCGAGAAGAAGACTCAGCCCCTCGGCCCCCGGCCCGTCTCTGGTGTTTCTGCCTTCGCACGGATAGCGGTGGACACCTCTCTCTTGTCTTCTGTCTTAATTGTATAAATAGTCAAGGTGGACAATAGTTTCCAAAGCCTTTCCATCCTCACACTCCGCCATCGGCTTTTGCGTCAAAGACAATCCCGGCTATTGGGAAAATCCATTTGACAGAATTCGCTCTATCCTCTCTTTTCATCAAAACCATGAAAGCTGTTATCATCAAAGAAGCCGGCGTCGCCGCCGTAGCCGACATCCCCGAACAAACCCTCAGACCGGGCTACATCAAGATCCGCACCAAAGCCTTTGCTATCAATCCCACCGACGCTGTACACACCGCTGGTGTAGGCCCCGCGGGTAGCCTCCTCGGCTGCGATGTCTCGGGCCATGTAGTCGAGATTGGCAGCGATTTTACGACGGATGTTAAAGTGGGAGATGCGGTGTATGGGGTTTGTCATGGTGGGAATACGGTATGTGGGATCTTGATGCCCAAGTCGTCGAAGTGTTCAGGGGTGTTCTGCGTTGCTGATGGGGAAATTTTAGAACAACAAAGAAAATGGGGCGTTTGCGGAATACGCCCTTATCCGCGACGGCTCTTTTGCGAAGATGCCGTCGAATGTAAGTTTCGAGGAGGCTGCGACGCTGGGCGTTGGTGTCACGAGTGTGGGTCAGGCTCTGTATATGACGATGAAGTTGCCGCTTCCGGTGCCCGAGTCGGTTAAGTTTGAGGGGAAGCAGTACATTCTGATATATGGTGGAAGTACGGCGACGGGGAGTTTGGCGATTCAGTTTGCGAAACTGTACGTTTCCCATCATCTCCTCCGATTACGCATCGCTTGCTGCAGCGTGGGGGCGAGTTCGTGCTGGATTAAAGCTGACTGTCCAATAGTTCAGGTCTCCATGTCATCACGACCGCAAGTCCCGCGAACTTCGACCTTGTGAAGTCACGAGGTGCCGACGCGGTTTTCGACTATCACGACCCCGAGTGTGCGAAGAAGATCAAAGAATATACGAACAACTCCTTACACCTGGTCATGGACTGCGTTTCCACTGAATCCAGTTACAACATCGTCGCCGACTCACTGGTAGAAGGAGAAGAAGGAAAAGGCCGTGGTCCGATATCTGTTGTAACGCTCCTCCCGGCAGACGCCTGGCCCAAGAGGAGATCAGATGTGACACCTATTCCTATCCTTGCGTACACATCGGGAGGAGAGGCTTTTACGAAGTTCGGAAGAGACTTTCCTGCTATCCCGCAGCATTTTGAGCATGGGAAGATGTTTTGGAAATTTGCGGGGGAGTTGTTGGCGCAGGGCAAGTTTAAAACGCATCCTGTGGCATTGAGGGATGGGGGTTTGAGCGGAATTCCGAAAGGGTGAGTCAAACCGGGAGAAAATCGGACTGAGTGTGAGACTGACCTTGCGGCAGAATTGCAGAGATGTCAGAGGGGATGGTCAAGGCTTGTAAGCTTGTGTACAGAGTGGATGACGAGGAAGATGGAGGTGCGGACAAGAGTGATGCGGCTGTTAAGGGACGAGAGTTGGGATCAAACTGGTAGATGTCCTCCCTTGGATCGTAGTTCGGTCTGTCCAGATTGTGGATGAGATGAAAGGGCTTGGTAACGATGTCTACGGCGAATCTGGAAACGGCGATCGAAAGACGATCCCTTTCGCGGACTTGGAAATTCGGGAAGGAGCTTTTGGATATACCGCTCCTTCTTCTGGCCGGTCGGGACGGGGAAGTCCTCAACTTCTCCAGAAAATGCGCATCGAAAGCAGGAGCGGTCCCACTGTATATCTGTCTCTCGACTTTAATCCCCATCTTCACACCAAACAATCACCAGATCAATCACACCATTCTTACGATTCATATCCCCACAGCACTTATTCGTCGCTCATTTATAACGTAAGGCCAAAGACTATACTTGTGAAAAAGCCGACCGTCCCTACCCCATCGCTCCAAGCGTCGACCCGTTCTCGAAGCCACAACATACACTCGCTTTTTCTAGCTCTCCGCCAGGACCATGCCGTATCTAGCCGAAACACACTTTGGGACACGGATCATCTACTACCGCGTCAACTTCTTCTGGCGCTACGCAAAAGACCCAGACAAATACGCAATGTACGATGTCGACGGCCGATATACTGATCTGGACCGCGCACTCCAAGTCCGAGATGCAATTTGCGACGTTCTCAGCCAAGTGATACTTCCGTACTCAGAAACACAGAGACTCGAAGCACTGAAAAAGGGCATCAAGGATTCAGAACTCAGGTGGGAGAAAAAAGGAATCAAGACCTCAGACCTTGAGTGGGTGAGGCTGCACCCCATGGGCACATACTTGGGCTTTGGGGACGTCCAGTGGTCGAGTTGTTTCAGGGGGTATGACGGGGAGGGAAAGTGCGGGTGGTCCGTGGCTGTCGAGCCGTTGATCTTCGGGGAGCGCCCTGGTATGGAGATTGGCTGGGACGAATGGCAGTATTGGGGGGTGAAGAACTTCAGGAAAATGGGCCTGCCGATTCCCAGTCCAGACGAAGGGTACTGGAGTTCCAAAGCTTCATACTACGTATCGGACACAGGGTCTGAGGAGGAGTGTCCTTCTCCGGCCGGCGACAGCGGCATTTGAAATGGTTGAACCACAGCTGCCCGAAATCCGGTCGGCACATAGCGATCAGGTGTTGAGCAGAACTTTATCTACAGTCTACATTCGCTCGCCACTGTCAAACCAAGCAAGTCACACCTTTCATGTCCAAGCAGGCTAGCAGACAATGGCAAACTTTGTTACTCTCTGTCTAAGCAGATACATAATGCCATACACACCCTGGGGCAATGCTGAGCGCCCATAGACCGCTACCCATACCCTTGATCCCAATTCCATCACACACAATTCAACACACACAATCGATCCCCATCACCCATTCCCACACCCCCAGCCTCCGCAAATCTCACCATGATGGCCCAGCCTCCGAACCCACATCCGCAACCCCCCTACTACCACCCACCCCCTCCCCACTAACCTGGAAACTCACATACGAAGCCTTCAACACATCCCCAGACCCTTGGTCGCTTGGGCAACACCGTATTGGCAGATACGCAACACTTGCAGAAGCGCAAGCGGCCTCGAAGGCGATTACTACGGTTCTTAGTATCGATCTTGAAAGATGGCATATGACGAAAACGCCATATGAATATACGACGCTCGGTTTGGGGGTTGAGGTGGTAGAGGGTTTTGACCGCGAGGGTTGGCTGCGGGTTAAGTTGGTGTTGGAGTTTGAGGCTCAAAGGGGAGAGGGAGAGGATGGAGCGGTTTCAAGGGTGGCCAATGGATGGAGGAGTGTGGGTTAGTAGTTCTGAGTCTTGCGTTAGGGTTGTTTGTATGCTGTCAGAATGGCTGGTTGGTTAGATTAGATTTAAGTTGTTCTGGGTAAGACTCACATGCGGCCTTTTCTGCTGATTGAATTGCGTTGGTGTTTAAGACATGTGATCGCCCAACCGGTGCATGACCACAGTAGGAAGCAAGCTTTGTCGCTTTCACTATTAGTCCAACCGTTCCACCAAATATAGAACGTCTTCAAAGATCGCCCTTGATCCCCAACCTACACTCCAACCTGCAACCCCACAAGCCCAGTCCTACCATGTCTACATCTGCAGGAAACCGTCCCTTTTACCCCATCCCAGCCTCAGCGCGTATCAGATGGCAAGTAGAATACGAAGAATACGCTGTCAACAACCCACAACCCCTTCGACGATATGTTATTGGTCGATACCATCGTTTCAGGAGAGCTAAGTCCGTTGCGTGCGCTATAAATGGATTCATCATCGATCATCTCCACCAAGGAGAAGGGTGGCGGACTGTAAGCACTTATGGCCCGAATGGAGGAGTCTTGGAGTTATATGATCGCGACAGATGATTGAGAGTCAAATTTTCTATCGAAGGACAGTTCGAAATAGAGAATGGTACTGTCGGTATGTTGACTAATACGGAACTAGAGAACGTTCGAAATAGGGTCGATGGAATCGTTTTGGGGGACGATGTAGATGATGAGCTTGAGGAGCTTCTTCAGTGATTGGGTCTTTATGAGAAAGGAACGAGCAAGAGATGGTTTTGATGTCTACTACAATTCGTCACTTGATGAGCACAATACCCAAGTGGCTGTATCATACCTTATTTGAGTTCCAGTGAAGCTTATTTGGCCAACATGATATTCGTAGTCCGCAATCATTACCATCCATACGACCGCGACTCCCACGTAGATAACGCTGTCCCTGTGAGCCGGTTCCACATCAGGACCCCTCACCGGTCGCCATTCGACCGGTTACTAGCCGTTGGGCGCGACGAAGCTTTCAGATCCAATGAGTCTACCAGGGTCATCCAAAATCCATTCTTCTCCGCCTCCTCCCGCTGATCATCGGCAAGACGCACACCGTAGTGGAGTAGCATAGAGAATTTGTATTCGAACTTATTCTTGATGACAATATCCATCGGCGTCTGCTTTTCCGTATTCTTCATCATCAATGTCTTGATGGAGGCATCTCGATGCCCTTCAGAAGCCTGCAAAATGGTCTTCAGGTAGTCGGTACTCGGCACCGCGGCTGACACATGGTAAATGGTATCTCCATCCATACTCGTTCGCGAGGTTAGTGCGGCT